TTTATTAAGAGTCTTTTTGGTTTAAGTGATGATCATCTAGTATTATTCCATTGTGGGTAAGCCAAATGCTTCTGGTGACTTTACAATTGGGAAATGAAGGAATCAGTTCTCTCCCTCTCCTTCCCTATCCATCTCTCTCTCTCGCCCCCACTTGTCTGCAAGATGTAGGCTTTCAAGGGAGATGGATTCTAAGCTTGAATATTCCAATTTCATTAACATGACTACTTACTCTGTGAAGTTGTTGAACGTCATTTTCAAAATCATCTCTGTGTTAGAGATACAGGTTGCAAGCTGTAGCACTGATGGATCCACTACCAACCACATAATCTCCTCTGGATGGCTGGAGGTCCTTCCAGATTGGGGTGGGTGGGGGAGATAGAGAGAGAGAAAGAGAGAACAAATGCTTGGGGAGAATCTGCCTTTTACTACAGTTTTAGGTTTTACATAATCATTTAAATTATATCACTAGTAGTTAATTGATTTGAATATGTTGTCTGATCATCTGTGGCCAAATAGCATGGTATGTGATTCGAGATATGTTGATATTTCTGTTTGTTCTGAAAGGCATAAAACACAAGTAAAAACCATTCAAGGTCAGCACAGATATCTTGAGGTTCCCTATCCTTCCTTCAGTCTGTCAGATGCAGTGAATAAATAATAATAATAATAATAATAATAATAATAATAATAATAATAATAATAATAATTTATTTTTACCCCCGCCCATCTGGCTGGGTTTCCCCAGCTACTCTGGGCGGCTTCCACCAAAGTATTAAAATACAGTGGTAGCTGCCTTAAACAGGGCTGCCTTCAGATTTCTTCTAAAAGTCTGGATGCAGTCCCATGCCCTCGGCGCTGGACCTCAGTGTCCGGGCAGAAGGATGGGGGTGGAGATGGGGGTGGAGATGCTCCTTCAGGTATACTGGACTGAGGCCGTTTAGGGCTTTAAAGGTCAGCACCAACACTTTGAATTGTGCTCTGAAACATACTGGGGGCCAATGTAGATCTTTCAAGACCGGTGTTATGTGGTCTCGGCAGCCGCTCCCAGTCACCATTCTAGCTGCCACATTCTGGATTAGTTGTAGTTTCCGGGTCACCTTCAAAGGTATTATTATTATCATTAAACTGCGTATTAAAGTAGAAACATGAAGAGTTGTAGCCAACACTGCAGAAACTGAGTTCCACTCATGCAAAAGGTCTTGGCTTGACTTACTTATTCCCACCAAATCAGTTGCAGATGGTCCTGCAACACTCTGTAGCAGATTTTGAGGGTGCACAGGAGGCTGCAGGGGAAGAAGAGGACATGGAATTCCATTTTGGAAGTAGAGGCCTGCTGCATGAGTGGAACAGCAATGTTGGATGCAAACTAAACTCTTTGTTATGTACTGAGTTGAAAGGATCCAAAATGCAGCAGTCCGATTAGTTCTAGGACAATAGGATCCAGAATGCAGCAGTCTGATTGGTCCACAGGAGCCACCCAATCCAGCTCCAGGTGGACATGAATCCACAACCTGATTGGCCTACAGGAGAATCCCGGAATTAGCCAATCACGTGGGGCCCATTGTGTAAATAATGTATATAAAGCAGACATTTTGGGGGAACTTCCATCCCTCACTTCTATGAGCTGAATAAAGAGCATGAAATCCATACTCGACTACGAGTATATTTCAGTCCTCTTAATGTTTCTTTGGGGTGTTGCTATTTCCTTCTAATTGGTGAATAAGTAGCACCCTGTCAGTTACATAACTGGCTGTTGAAAGGTGGTTGTTTCTGCTATAATGATAGCCACATCCCAAGTTTTCAAAGGGCCCTGAGCTAAAAAGTGTTGCCTAAACCATTTGTGGTTCAATAACCTTTCATGCCTTTCTGACAGATGGTGTTCTTGGAGCATAATTACAGTTGCAGGAAAACATTTTCTATGACTTGCCACGAGGGGTGTGCAATTCTAATGTGCATGTTTTAAAAAACAGTTTTAGAGAACTACGGTAAAAATCATAACAGGAGTCTATGTCATGACAGAGGTTGAATTGGAAGATGGAAGGAAATCCACTTAATAGTCTGTTTTCTTTCACCACCTAGTCACCATACATTAAAATAGCAAACCTTGACACAGCCATCAGTATATAATTTCTGATTCTTCCCATAACCTCCCATATAATTTCTGACTCTTCCCATAACCTCATAAATAAATGTTCAGATATTCAGACTGGCTCTCTGAACCAATCTCTAATTAAAAAAACAACATTTTGAAGAACCCTTTCTCTCCCTTAGAACATCAGAACATAAGCAATGCAAGCAAATCTGCAAAATTCCAAAGAGAAAAATGAAACAGGAATGGGATCACCTCAATCAGCCATAGGAATTTAAACCGGAAGTTCAAACTCTGCCCCATTTCCAATGGATCCTCCACAGGGTCCAAGTTGGCATCATTTACTCAAAAGCAGAGACAGGTGTGCTGGGACTCTGAGAGAAAGAAAGCAACTCTCTTCCCAGAGGGCAATTTGACTTATGACATCTGTGCCGTACAAATACAATCAGGTTCTCATTTCATTATGAGAAAATAATTCATTTTTATTTCTGCTTCCAAGTATTTATTATTTTAGCCATCTAAACCATAGGTAAAGGTAAAGGGACCCCTGACCATTAGGTCCAGTCGTGACCGACTCTGGGGTTGCAGCGCTCCTCTTGCTTTATTGGCTGAGGGAGCTTCTGGGTCATGTGGCCAGCATGACTAAGCGACTTCTGGAGAACCAGAACAGCGCACGGAAACGCCGTTTACCTTCCTCCTGGAGCGGTACCTATTTATCTACTTGCGCTTTTACGTGCTTTTGAACTGCTAGGTTGGCAGGAGCAGGGACCGAGAAATGGGAGCTCACCCCGTCGCAGGGATTCGAACCGCCAACCTTCTGATTGGCAAGTCCTAGGCTCTGTGGTTTAACCCTCAGTGCCACCCGCGGCCAAGGCAAAAGCCTACAGCACATGGTATTCCCAGGCGGTCTCCCATCCAGGTACTAACCAGGCCTTACCCTGCTTAGCTTCCAAGATCAGACAAGATCGGGCGTGTTCAGGATAGTATGGTCGTAGACATCTAAACCATACTTTGATAATAAGTACTCACAATATAAAAAGGAAGAAAAGGAGGACAAAGAAATAAATAATAACAAACTACATAAAAAAGAAAAATATTACATAGATAATTATCATATCTAACAATATAGCTAAATTATATCTATTCTTATTCCCCAAATACGTGTCATTCCATGCTATGGGGCAATAGAGGAGCATGGCTTCTAATTCTTGCATTAAATGAAGCCATTGCATGTAGTTTCTGGGTGTGCATGTACCGGTAATTGAAAGGGATCATTAAGAGCTGGATCCTGGCATATTTTACATGCTAAACAGGAAAGGCCAAGGGTAAGTTTGGCTTATGCATATCCTGATTTATTAATGGTAAGTAATTGTTTCAAAACACCTCTCTTGGGTAGTTTTGAGTTATACATTATACAATATACATGAGGTTACCAGTAGTTGCTGCATTGATTAAAGTCCTGTGGAGAACCAGTGACCTCCATAACTCTCTGGAAAATTCTGGAAGCAGATTCACTCCTTGGAGTGATTGGGAGGTGACTGCCTCTCTGTGTGGTTGCTTTCTCAGAAGGTCCATTGTGCATGTCAACCACATTTGCAAAGTGTTCTTTTTCATCTATCCAACATTAAGTCCATATGCCTGGGACGCGGGTGGCACTGTCTAAACCACTGAGCCTCTTGGGCTTGCTGATTGGAAAGTCAGCAGTTCGAATCTGTGCAATGGGGTGAGCTTCAGTTGCTCTGTCCCAGCCCCTGCCAACCTAGCAGTCTGAAAGCATACCAGCACAAGCAGATAAATAGGTACTGCTGAGATGGGAAAGTAAACAGTGTTTCCTTCTGCTCTGGCACTTGTCCTCTGTGCACCAGTAGCAGTTTAGTTATGCTGGCCATGTGACTCAGAAAGCTTTCTGTGGACAAAAGACGGCTCCCTCGGCCTGAAAAGCGAGATGAGTGCTGCACCTCATAGTCATCTTTGACTGGACTTAACTGTCCAGGGGTCCTTTATCTTTAGCTATTAACTCCATATGATTACGGTCTGAAAAATAATGTGCCTGAGGCCACCCAGATGAGCTTTGAATCAGCTATCTGCAAATTGATCATTGTACTCTTAACTGCTGCACTAAATGATCTGTAAAAAAGGTAAAGGGACCCCTGACCATTAGGTCCAGTCATAGCTGACTCTGGGGTTGCGGCGCTCATCTCGCTTTATTGGCCGAAGGAGCCGGCGTACAGCTTCCAGGTCATGTGGCCAGCATGACTAAGCCGCTTCTGGTGAACCAGAGCAGTGCATGGAAACGCCGTTTACCTTCCCGCCGGAGCGGTACCTATTTATCTACTTGCCCTTTGACATGCTTTCGAACTGCTAGGTTGGCAGGAGCAAGGACCGAGCAACGGGAGCTCACCCTGTTGCGGGGATTCGAACCGCTGACCTTCTAATCAGCAAGTCCTAGGCTCTGTGATTTAACCCACAGCGCCACCCGCGTACCTTAAAATGATCTGTTACACGTTGACTAATCTTTTGTTGAACTGAGACTGCAGTCCCATGCCCACTTGCCTTGAAAGGTGTCACACGGAAGTCAGTGGAAATACCTTCTGAGAAGTTTGCGTAAGATGATATTGGGAGTTGGGCAAGATTGAACCAATGATATCAATTAGAGACAATGTTTCTTTTCCTTCCAGGAACGTGTAGTCTGTACTTGGTGAAGTGTAGCAACCTATTTAATCCACACTATCTGCCAATTCATTCTCCAGTATATGATATAGGTTAAAGCACATATTCTTTAATCCAGCTTTGTGGAGCCCAGTCTTGTACTCTACGCTGAAAGATGGATTTGCTTCCATGCACATCAAGGATGTGGCTCTTCATAATGGGGGCAGGATTGGTCCAAGCCCTTGTTACTTCAGGAATGTTTATGAAAAGAAGAACTTTACACCCAGAAGCTACTATGGATGTTGTAAGCCATCCATCTTTTATTCTTTTATTTGCTTAACTGAAGGCATTTATGGTTATTAGTGCTGCTAAATTGTGCTATATTCCACATACCTAAAGTTTGTTTTTCATGGAATGCTGGGATAGCAGGCGCAAGAAAATGATGATGATGATGATTTTGAAGTATGTACCCTGCCCTCTCAATGCATCATTGCTCAGGGCGGCTTGCAGCATTTTTTTGTTTTAGTTTTTTAAGCATTTCCAAAGTAGCTCCCAACATCTGCTTCATGGAACCCCAGTGCTCTTTGGGCTTCATTTAGGTATCAGCAGTAGCAAGTTTAGCATCTTGCCCTATGCATTATTGTTGCTCAACAGCATGAAGAAAAATCATTAAGTGGTCCAAGAGGATTGGGTGGAGTTTGGGAAGCATTGCTACTAAAGATGTAGTCTTCTGTGGAAAAGAAGTGTCCAGGAGTTTTACACTACCAGCCAAACCTTGCCTTTTCTTTTCTCCCTTTCTGCCCAGGGTGAAATGATTTCCTTCAGAGGATATCCCAGTGAGACATATGAAGTGGTGACAGATGATGGGTATATCCTGAGTATTAACAGAATTCCTCATGGGAAAAGAAATAACCGGAAATCTGGTGAGTGTGTTTTTTGAGGTATTTATTATGTATACATGAAAATACTATGAGGGCATTTAAAATTATTATTTAAAAAATGATAAGTTTTTGCTTTGGAATTCATTTACTTATTGCAAGAAAACCTCAACAATCTGTTTGGTTATGGATGTTTATTAATATGATTTTATTAATTATATGTTTTGGTCCTATTTTTTCTATAAAATTCCAAAAAAGGCCATAGATTAGGTTAAACACATTTTAGTCCTTTCTTGAGCTATTAGGTCCTCTGCATGGAGACTATTGAGTGACAGAGAAAAGGCAGAACTGCTTTGTCTTCTTTTTTAAATTTTTAAAATTAATTTTCACATTTAAACATTATCATCATATAAACCATAAGAAACAACTTCAATAAAAATAGAAATAGAAAATAAAACATCTTCACACCATATTAAATCCATATTTTGGGATTACTCAGACCCCTTGACTTCTCTCCATTTACTCTCCTGGTTCTTTTATAATATCTTATATTATACATGTCTATAATTTATTAAATTTATTAAAATTTCCAATTTTAAACATTCTTAATATTACAAGTGTTTTTAAAAGCCTGCTATTGTATTAACTTCTTTTACAATGCCTTTGTAAATATGCAGTAAAAAATTCCCCCTTTTTTCCTATTTGTGTTCATTTTGATTTCTTAAACTTCCTTCCAGTTAATTTAGCCATTTCAGCATATTCCATTAATTCAAATTGCCAATCTCCTAATAGAATCAAAAACATATTATTACAAATAATACATAAAGACCAAACAGGATTTCTTCCAGGAAGACATATGAAAGAATATATAAGACTATAATAGATATTTTTGAATATCTGGTAGTAAGAAATGAAAAACAAGCAGCAATGATGTTTGTAGATATGGAAAAAGCATTTGATAATGTTTCCTGGACCTTTATGTTAATGTCCTGGAATAAATGAACTTTGGAGAAACATTTAAAAGAGGAAAAGAAGCCATATATTCAGAATAGCAAGCAAGATTAATAATTAATAATGTAACTGCAGATGAGTGTGAAATTACAAAAGGAACAAGACAGGGGTGTCCCCTATCACCTTTATTGTTTATTTAGTCTTAGAGGTACTGGTGAGAGATATAAGAGCAGGTGATGATATTAGAGGAATAACTGTAGGAAATAAGTCATATAAATTAAAGGCATTGTGGATGAAATAATGGTCATGATAGAAAACCCTGGTCAGAGACGAAGAAGCAGCAGGCACCAGCATGGGGGGGGTTGGATCTCCTGAACATAGAAGTGCAAGAAGGTGAAACAGCGAAACAGCTAGAGCAAACAGTTCCGCTGAGGCTGAGTTCAGACTTGGAGGGGGGGGGGGGAGGAAGTACAGTCAGCTCTTTTGAGGCGTGCGCCAAAGAGGTTGGAGGTCAAAAGGAAAGCCGTAAAGCTGTCACACTTGAAATGCTGGGGGAGGTGTCCTATGTCATTCGCGCCAACTGAACATGATGAATCAGAGTGAATTATCAGAGCTTGTGTTAACTTTGTAAATAGTCTACAATAAAGACCATAAAATCATTAAGCCGTGATTAAACCGGACGTCCCTTTGCCTCTGTCTCTAACTCACAAGGAAAGTGATCCCCAACCTGGTGATGACATATTAAATGATGTAAGGAGGGAGCTACAGCCCAAGATAGGAAAAGAGGTGGTAAGGAAACACCTAGCTACTTTAAATGAATTCAGATCTGCAGGGCCTGGTGAGCTGTGCCCCAAAATACCTCTACCTTGCTTTCCATATTGCATTTAGAAGATACTCATTCCAGACTTAAATTCCAGACACGTGAAATTGCTGGCCTGCTCTGCGTCCCAAGTTTATAGTTGGTGATACACACCAGTGGCCAGTGAGGCTGCACATGTGGGGCATCGTTGCTCTCCTGGCTTCTTAACACATCCGTCACTGGAGATGATTGGGAAGGAGAGCAGAGGTGCGAGGTGAGGAGAGCTTGGCCAGGTGAGGCTGCATCTTATTGGATGGAGACACTGAAATTACTTATTGTAACTATGTTTAAAACAAGGAACTAGGCAGAGGGCCTTCTTGGTAGTGGCGCCCACCCTGTGGAATGCCCTCCCATCAGATGTCAAGGAAATAAACAACTATATGACTTTTAGAAGACATCTGAAGGCAGCCCTGTTTAGGGAAGTTTTTAATGTCTGATGTTTTATTGTAGCTTTAATTGTGTTGGGAGCCTCCCAATGGGGCTGGGGAAAACCAGCCAGATGGGCTGGGTATAAATTCTTCTTCTTCTTCCTCTTCAGGTCCCAGGCCCGCAGTGTTCTTGCAGCATGGCTTGCTTGGTTCTAGCAGTAACTGGGTGTTTAATATGGACTACAACAGCCTGGGCTTTATATTGGCTGATGCTGGTTATGATGTTTGGCTTGGAAACACCAGAGGTAACACTTGGTCCAGCAAACACATCAACTATACTGAGAAGCATCAAGAATTCTGGCTATTCAGGTAGAGTGAGCTTTCTAAACCTAATTTCTTGTTTCTGGTTCCTAGTTTACCCTTTGGGGAAAACTTTAATTAGTCATGCTCTTCCTAGTGGAGCCATGTTTTTCCACCTCCTCTTATAATATATGATATGGAGGTATAGAAATACATTTCCAAGTAAGTAAAATTGGTAGTTGTCCCTTTAAACAAACAAACAACTTGTTTGTTCCTGGGGAAAATATGGCCTTGGTGAAATGTGGCCTTGGTGAACTCCATAGAATAGATGATAGCAGATCAGCTTAACTTCAGGTGCAATTAGACTTGATCTGGAGAGACTCAATATTGGTCCTTCTGAATCTCTGCTGGAATTTGAAGCTCCTCAGACAGACATGGGTTGGAGGGAAAGCAGAGTCCTCTCCTGCCCACAGCATAAGTACTGTTCCTCCCGAAACTGACTTTTTCAAAATGTTTTTGCTTTCCCCATTGCAGCCACATGGTTGCTCTTAACTGTGTGGTGGGCATTTTCAGTTTGCAGTGAACAGCTCATAGTGTGGCCCTGCTTGCTAGTGAACAGTGAAAAAGGAAATATATAAGGAAGATGAGTCATGGCTTAATTCAGATAACTGTTTCACAAATGTTCATAGACTTGGTGACTTGATGGATCCATGGAGGAGATGATCTCTGATCTGCCAGATCCAAGCCTCTTCTTGTATTGAACTGGGCGGAGAACAGGGCATTTTAGGCTTTCACAATGTTGATCCCACTGCATATACATGTCTGTTAAACATAGGCTGTTCCTTTTTCTTTGCAGTTTTGATGAAAAGGCTAAATACGACCTTCCAGCTTCAATAAACTTTGTCCTGAACAAAACTGGTCAGGAAAAAATATTTTATGTTGGTCATTCCGAGGGCACCACAATGGGTAGGTTAGCAAGATTCTTAAACACATGCGGGCAATTCTTTTCGCTACATAATTATATGTGCAGTTGCTGTTGTATATTAAATTCAAGAGACATCTTGCTCATGGTACAGTGATGTTCCATGGAACCTATGGACACCTATGGAGAAGCATCTAGAATAACAATCCCTGCATTTTGGTTTCCTGCATTGCGTGGACAGGCGGAGCCCCCAGATCCCAAGCGGTCCCCCCCGTCATGTGGAATAATAACTCTAGACAACGTGCTATGGGATTAAATTGGCCACAACTTTATTAAATTTCAAATGTGGGTAGACCTTGGCTCAGGCATTGGGCGTTCTGCCTCCCCAGCCCCCAGCCGGGGACCTAGGGAGCATCAGGGTTGTCCAGTGTGGGGGGGGATGGGGTGGCTCTGGAGACCATATGTTCAAGCAGAGATAGCCGCCCCCGTTACGCCGCCGCCGCAGGGGAGAGCAATGACAACCTTTCGACGTACGGTCAAAGCCTCCCTTCAGAAACCCCATTAACGGGGAACCCTGGTATCGCCGCCGCAAAGAGGAAGATGGACTAAAGGATTCCGCCCGAGGCCTGATACCGCCAAAGTTGTAACGTTTTGCTACGGGAAAGGCGAAACCTGCCAATGCAGGGAAATTCCTTTCCGGCCCTTTAACAGCGACCTTAACGTAGCAGCGCCCGCATACCTGTGAAGAAAAGTTAACCTGCAAAACCTGTGAAGAAAAGTTAACCTGCAAAATAAGACATTAACTGAGGGTGGGTAGGGTGGGAGAAGCTCTGGAGCCAAGTGAGGATTCCCAGGTAAGATCCTCCCTCTATTCTGTGGGCAGGTAATCCCTCCCCTACCTGGCCTGGTCTCCTTGGCAATGCTTCCCCCAGGTGGGATTGGACAACTGACTGAGGTAGGCGGAGACCTCCAGGTATCCCACCTGGCAAAGCCAAGCCTATGCTGATGGAGCCGCTCCAGATCTAGGGGCTGTGCGCATCCACGCAAAGGGCGCCCCCCGTTTTAAGCGGGGAGTGGTCATTTTCCTCCTTTGTGATATTTCCCATATAGGTGATGATTCAAATTGGTTAAGGGGCTTATAAAAAGTGGTTTGTCTGGACTGAGAAACTGTTAAAATCCAGGATTGCAAACCAGTATCAAGCCTAGTTTGCAGTCAGAGTTTAGGTAACAGTTTCCCAGTCTGGATGTAACAGAAAGCTATAGTTTAACAACCCCGGGATGTAATGTGTTAAGCCCCCTGAGACAAGAGGAGAAGAGAACATGTTGGCTGAACACGCCTTCTTGGTCTCATAAATCATAGTTCTATAACCAAACCGGTTTGAAAGTCACCTCACCTCTGACTGTCACTTCATGTTTTATTGGTTCTTAGTGCAACCTAGAGTGGCTGGAGAAACCCAGACAGATGGGCTGGGTATAAAAAAATAAAATTATTATTAATGTTGTTATTAGCCACAGAATGTATTACGTAAGTGAATTTACAATTATTACACCACTAAGGAAATATATGCAGCACTAAAAAGTTTTAAGTAGGTCAGAAACAAGGCAGGGCCTTTTCTGTTGTGATGTGTAGATTATAATGCTCCATCCCTAGTAGGGTCCTAGGTCAAAATGATCCCAGATCCTGAGATTTCAGGGCCCAAACCTGAGACTTAGTGGAGTTGTTATAGGGGTGGCTCTATATAGTGTCAGAGAGGTGAACCCCAGAGATGTCATGAAAATGGCACATTAATCATGGTCTCTGAGAGCATGTCATTCACATAAAAAGCTACTGTTTGGAAATCAAGACAGAAACCTTAACTGAAGGGGTTGTTCCCAGCTACAGCTGCTCTACGAAGTACTAAAGATTCGTGCTATGAAGAGGTTGAATAAGAGTGGTACTGGAGAAGTCAGTATAAGGTGCATTTTCAGCTCTGCTGAAAGTCTGTAAATTTTGATAATATACCCGATTTTGTTATTGGTTTTTTTCAAGACTACATTGCTAACTCTATTTATTTTTCTCCACCCCCCCCCACAGCATTCATTGCATTTTCAACCATGCCACACCTAGCCAAGAAGATCAAGATGTTCTTTGCATTGGCACCAGTAGTCACTGTTAAGTATTTGACAAACACGGCTTTGATCAAACTTGCAATGGTTCCTGAACCTAAGCTCAAAGTATGTATTTCGGAAAAAATACTTGTTCAAACAACGGAATGCAAATATTGCCTAATGTAGCTAGTACAGTATTTGGGGATGTCTGTTTCATTTTACCTGAGGCTATTCACAATGCTCTTAGACATCTAAAGAGCTCAAGCTAGCCAATGCTGCAACTTGATAGCACAGTGTGGCTGTTCTGTGCCAGGACTTTTTTGGGTAAAAAAATGAGGGGCTGGTTCTTCTCCCTTGCTGTATGTGTCATGGGTTCCAGTTTCTGCTGTGGGCAGAAAAAGAAAGGTGTTGGTATTCTATACTCATGGATACTGTTTGCAACTGGTGCCCATATTAAAGAATTTGGCGCAATTCTCTACGGTTCCTAATAAAATTGCCATGAGAATCTTGTCAGTATGGTGGCAGATCACACTTGTGGGTAACTTAGTTGCCTTTAAAGCAATAATGCTGAGCAGTTACCGTATTTTTCGCCCTATAGGACGCACTCCCCCCCCCCAAATGAAGGGGAAATGTGTGTGTGTCCTATGGGTTGAATGCAGGCTTTCGCTGAAGCCTGGAGAGTGAGAGGGGTCGGTGCGCACCGACCCCTTTTGCTCTCCAGTCATCAGGAAGCTATCCGCAAGCCTTGCAAGCCCAGACGGAGTTCCCGCAGGCTCGCAAGGCTTGCGGGCAGCAGCCTGCAGTCCGAACCATGGGGTGCCCTCCGGAGGAACTCCCGCCCTGAGCTTGGGGGACAGCGGGGAGGCGCAGCGGCGCCACCCTGCTGTTCCCCAACCTGGTTTGGAGGCTGCCATCCCCACAAACTCAGGGGACAGATATCCACAAGCCTGGGGAGACCGGCGGGACTTCCCGCCGGGCTCCCTAGGCTTGCAAATAGCAGCCTGTTCTGACGGCTGGGGTCGGGGGAAGCTCGGGCATCCCCTGCCCCAGCCCCCCGCCTAGGGGGGAAATAGATTTTCCCCCTTTATTCCCCCCCAAAAAAACTAGGTGCGTCCTATGGATCGGTGCATCCTATAGTGCGAAAAATACGGTACATGGGAATGTATTTATTTTACAGTATTGCTTTCTTTATAGTACAGTAAGCCTATGCTCCAGGGATCTAGCTTAATGGCAAAACCTAGTAGAGTCAAAACCTTTTGGGTTCAATGGCAGGTGGGATTGCCAAAACCCTTTTTCCTGAAACCCTGCCCCATTTCCACCTCCCTCCCTCCCTCCCTCCCTCCCTCCCTCCCTCCCTCCCTTCCTTTCTTAGTTGCGGACTTACAACATTGGAGCATGGTCAGTTTTATCCCCATGCTACAGTCACCCTTGGTTGCTATGCTACACTCCTGTCATTTTCAGATCGGAGGAATAGCTACTTAGCCTAGGTTCAAGTCAGGAGACATGACATTAAATTAAGTCACTAGGCATACAATAGAGCAGTAAGACACTTTTGCTGAAATTACGGGGTAATTAAATGATTTCTAGCACATCTATTTAGCTACTGGACATTTGGCAAAATGTCTGCATAACTCATGTGCTTTGTATATTTGGGCTCCTACTGAAATAGTATTCATGTTGTGGGAACCATTATAATCTAGCTTGTTCCTGAACCACTTTAGAAGGACGCCAAAAGTCTAGAAATCAACGAAGATGATAGACTATGCGAATTACCAAAGCTGAAAGGCAAAATCTGAAACCAGAGTGACAAAGCGTTCCAGAGAGACTGGAGTAAATTTATTCAATAAATAGACAGTTATTGTAAACATGTAAAGACACTTGCAAGACTGCGATAAACCTCACAATGCTCATTGGAAGGAACCTTCTACTTGTGCTTTAAGAGTAAAATAACCAAGAAAAAAAGTGTAGGATTGAGATGGTATAAATGTGTGGAAATATGATGTTGTTATACAAAAACCAGATAACGGGATGGAGGGAAGCCGAGTGTTTCAGTAGAGCTATGAATTAGTAAAAGGAAATAAGATGTTATAATAATGTTAAAAATGGAAAATAATAAAATAAAATATAAAATAAAATAAAGAAACCAATGCCCTTAGAGGCTATGTTTGCATAACTCATGTCTTTTGCATATTTGGGCTCCTACCTAAATAGTGTTCATGTTGTGGGAACCATTACCATGTAACTTGTTTCTGAACCACTTTGGAAGGTTTCATTCCATTCCATTCCATTTATGCCCCAACCATCTGACTCGGCTGCCCCAGCCACTCTGGGCAGCTTCCAACATATATAAAAACATAACAAAACATTAAACATTTAAAAACTTCGCTATATAAGGCTGCATTCAGATGTCTTTTAAAGGTTGTATAGTGACTTATCTCCTTGTCTTGGGGGCTGCAAAACTCCATACCCTTCATCATTTCTCCGGGGAAAATAGGGAACATTCTGGGATCAAATCAGAAACCAGGATGGCTTCTGTAAATCTGGGATAGCCTCTGGAAAATAGGGACACTTGGAAGGTCCAGAGGGTCATTCTGTCTGACTGTGCTTGTGGGATTTGAATGGGTATTCTATCCTAAATGTCTGAGCGGAAGATTCTCATAACAGTTTTTTTTGTAATATTTTGTTTCTACTCGATAGTAGTATCCATAGGAAAAAAGAGAATTGACTAACAAAATAGCATATGTACTAATATTTTTGTTTTGGCAGAAAATGTTTGGAACTAAGCAGTTTTTAGCTCAAGACAGAACAATGAAATGGTGTGCTACTTCCTTGTGTAACCGTTTCCCAATGGATTATCTTTGTGGCAGTGTTGTCTTCATGGCAACTGGCTTTAATGTGCTAAACATGAATGCGGTAAGATTTCTAATTACTTAATAGGTGTGTGCTCTAAAAAAAGGTAGGTGTATGGAGGCTTCTCTGAAGTGATTGCTACTTGTGCCATTCATAACTTAATTACATTCAGACAAAACACAGAAGATACCTGCACATCATTGTCCCATCATTTTGCATCAATGATGGATAGAGATCTATTTTTTAAAGGAGAGCTCAGATTCTGGACCACTAGTAAAAGCTTGTGTGGGTGCCATGGTGTCTCTTGCACTAGGAGCAGTGACATAATAAGCCTAATAAGCCTCATGGCTGTACTCAAGTACAGCAGCACACATGTGCAACCACTGCCTATCCTCCCTCAAGGCCTCCCTGCGCATTGACCGGCATCTTTTTGCCTTTGCTGTGGCGTTGTTTAAACAGGGACCACACAGAGTGGGATGGGAAGGAGGGAAACGGACAGAATATGTGTGCACATTCAACCACATAACGACATCTGCGGCATCCAGGAGATTGCAGCCACAGAGATAAGAAAGGAAGAGTCATTCCATTGTCTGGAGAGGTCACTTCCTGGTTTGCATGGAGAAGCCGTTTGCGACTGAGCCCAGCGAGGGAAGAGCAGAGCTGTACTGAGGCATTGCTGGGTGTTGAAATTTTGCACCCCTAAGAATTTTGCACCCTGGCAACTGCCCCACAATATGCCACTCAAGGGAGTTTCTAAATCCCCTTCTTATGTACAAAGCTAAAGTTCCAGAATACATTTCCACTGCCTACAAGATATTGGCCATATAAAGCTTCCTGTAAAAAAAAGCACAAAGACTTCAGTAGATCTCATAGTCTCATGCATATTTCTTCCTAATCTGGGATTTTGTCTCTGGTGTAAGCACTGCATAATGGCTAACTATTTATTTAAGTATTTAGATATCACTATATCAGCAAAATGTATCAAAGCAGTTTACAACAGTAGAAATAAGATTAAAACCATTTCATAAAAGCATAAAAAGTGAAAAACAAGTTAAAAGCAGAGATCAGTAACCATAGTGGTGGGTGTACTGGCAGAACAGAGTTTTCAGCAGGCATTTCAAAGTTGGTTTAGAAGGTACCTGCTGAGTCTCTGTTGCTGGAGTATTCTGCAGCACTGGGCTGATGACGTTAAAGGCCTAGATTCTCACTGTTGTCAAGTGAGTCTCACCAGATGATCTCAGTTCATGCAAACTAGTAGCATCTCACTAAGCACACTAGTAACATCTCACTACATTTGTGTGGATTTTGCAGGTGATCTTTATGAGGCTGCTTATTTGTCTTTGCCCTTTCTTGCTTCCTTTCCAGCCAATATTCCTCTAAAATTATTCATTATTTACATTCTACATTTCATCAGGTGGTCACAGGGTGGGATACCTTTTTTTTAAAAAAAACCCAATAACACTTTTTCATATGTGCTGTAAGCTGCCCAGAATGAGCGGGAGATAAATAATACAATTATTATTATTATTATTATTATTATTATTATTATTATTACAACAATAAGCAGCAGTCAAAAGCCCAGGAACATGAAGTGAGAAGCCATAAGTGCACACCAAGGCCAGGTTTGGTACTCAAGCAGGATAGGGTGAATTCATGTCCTGTAGGAGGAACATACACAATGCAATGCCTATTGCATCAATCATTGTTAGTAACCGTACCTGGATTGGTTCTAGTAGTACTGTATGATGAAAAGCATTATAGTTAGGCTGTAATCTAACCAGAGAGCCAGTGTTGGTGTAGTGGTTAAGAGCGATAGACTCGTAATCTGGGGAACCGGGTTCGCCTCTCCACTCCTCCACATGCAGCTGCTGGGTGACCTTGGGCTAGTCACACTTCTTTGAAGTCTCTCAGCCCCACTCACCTCACAGAGTGTTTGTTGTGGGGGAGGAAGGGAAAGGAGAATGTTAGCCGCTTTGAGACTCCTTCGGGTAGTGATAAAGCGGGATATAAAATCCAAACTACTCCTCCTCCTCCTCCTCCTCCTCCTCCTCTTCTTCTTCTTCTTCTTCTTCTTCTTCTTCTTCTCCTGTGCAAAGGTACATGGGATGAAGCCTGGTTGAACACCGTACAATTTGCTTCTTAGTAAATATGCACAGAATAGCACTGCAAGTAATTTGATATATAAAATGTAAAAAAAAATGCATTTAAGTTCTGGGACAGTTAAAACTGAAATGCCTTGCTCTAAGATAATTTCCGGGGGGTTTTGTTTTTTGTTTTTTTGTTTTTGTAACATCATATTGGGATTAGTAACCAGTTTAGAGCATCAAGTTGTGTTGTTACTATGTAGACACGGATTCCTGTGTGATATCCTGATGTTGAGCTCTGGTGCACTGCTTTTGTGCAAACAAACCAAATGGAAGGGAAGTGGCTGTTGCAATTTGTGATAAATTCAGCTAATCACTTTGCGCTTTCTTACAGAGTCGAATCGATGTTTATTTATCACACTGTCCAGCTGGGACATCTATCCAGAACATGCTTCACTGGACTCAGGTAGCACCGAAATCCTCTTTTCTCTTTAAAAAAACGTTTTCGTATCGATTGAAGAATGGGCAATCAGGACAGGCTTTTACAAAGACTTTTAAGAATGAAATTAATAAATATGATTGAAAGAAAAATTCTTAATAACTCAGCCTGTCTTTTTATAGACTCCAGAAACATGTTTTGTTTTTATGAGAAAGGATTTAAAGCTGAGAGAGTTTTATTGTGTTTAAATGTTTCCAAACAGGAGTATTTCAAAAGCTAAAGATACAATAATATCCCCAATGGATTTGTTTTTATTGGCAAAATAGTCCCTCTGCATGAAGATGGACAAATACTACATTGCTGTGGTACTTTACTGACTTGTGTCTCAGTGAAGAACTCAGTGGAAGCTTTGCCCGCCTGTTTGGACTCCAACTCCCATCAGCCAGGCCACGCTGCCTTTTGCTGATAGGAGTTGGAGTCCAAAGCATCAGGATGGCTCCAGGCTAGACCGGCACTTTAACTTAGTGTCATCTGAATTATTTGTATAGAAACACAAAAACGGCTTGCTAAAGCCACACAGTAGAAGATTGGAGCATCTAGGTAAGATGTCCTTTCTGATTGGATATACATGGTGGAAGTGAAAATGAATAATGGCTTTGGTAGCCCTTCCTCGCTGGACTGTCTTAAACCCATCATGCTAACCTATAGAGCTAAACATGCTGGTTATTTGAGGCTCATATATCCCACAATCGAATTATTTTTTCCTAGCCACTGCTTCCCTTGAACCTGCTCTCTATTTTGGATCAATTGTGTGAAATAATCTTTAGGATGGAGTTGGTTTTTTCCAACTCTGATTCTGTGACTTAGTCTGCATTTCTAGAAACACTTCCCTGGGAATAAGTCCTATTGAATGGTTCTGAATAGACATGATTGTTGTTGTTGTTGTTTAGTCGTTTAGTCGTGTCCGACTCTTCGTGACCCCATGGACCAGAGCACGCCAGGCACCTCTGTCCTCCACTACCTCCCGCAGTTTGGTCAAACTCATGCTGGTAACCTCAAAAACACTATCCAACCATCTCGTCCTCTGTCGCCCCTGACATGATTAGACAGATGTATTTACACTTTAAAGTGGCCTATATCAATTTTGACTGTGTCACAAGTCAGCAACCTTTTCCTTTGTTCCACAGGCCCGATTCTTATCAGGATCAGTTTCACATGCAAAGTTTAACAATAGGGTGGGGCATCCAACCTGTTAATTACCTATTAGAACAATCAAGGATGTCAAAGCTCCTTGCAAGCTGCTCCTTCTGGATTCCAATGCAAACCTCTTCCTTATTCACTTTAGTAACACTTCCAATGCAAACTCCTTCCTTAATCAGGACGAGGTTTGCATGGAATACTGCAGAATTTAAATGAGTGAGATCAGCTGATGATCAGTGGGTGTCTTTGTGGGAAAGTGTTTGGGTGAGACTGGATCCCCTGGCAGACTAAGTTGGACTGTAGAGTGGAAATTCCTGATCCCTGCAAATATTCTGATTTCTGAGCAATGGGATACCTGGGCTACTTATCCAACCACCCAACTTACCGTAATCCAGCTGCCCAGAGGCAGAGAGGAGAATTCATATTAGATCGGAAGAGAAATTTTCAGCCCAAACCAATGTGTGTTTACTAAAGTTCCCCTAAGTTAGATGAGAGTTGCTTCCAGGTAGGTGTAAAACAGACAACTCATATCTAGTAGGACACATGTCAAACATTCTCAAGATATCAGATGAACTGAGGAGACGTAGAAGGTTAAGCAGTACTAAAAAAACAGCTCTACTGCTTTCAGATGGCTTTGTGTAGCTTTCTTTGTATGTTTACATTAACTTTTGTTCTTCTCACTAAAGATGAAGTTAGACATTATTGCATAGCCTTAATCATAGCATGGTTTTTGACATGTTCAACATCCTTGTTTATGCCGGTACCACACTCTATTCATATCACACACTTCTATATCATCTGCCTTGCCCATTTGGTTTTTCAAAGTATGGCACACCTCTTTTTCAGATTGTGAAGGCTGGGAAGTTCAAAGGGTTTGACTGGGGAAGCAAGGAAGCAAACATGGCTCACCACAACCAGGTAAGAATTTCTCACAAATTGAGTATTTCTCTCTGTAGGCGTTTATATGAGGGTAGATACCGGGTAGCTTAACGTAAATCCATAGACTGAGCATGTATCAAAAGAATCCATCTCCAAGGTGTGAACAATCAGATTAAAAAGAACCTCTTTAGATAGCACATGAGATGTTCTTGTAGTTCTTGTTATAGTAGTTCTTGTTATAGATTTAGGGGAGGGATCTCCCTAAACCCTAGAAATGAAAAAATGCTAGGATTTTGATTAACTGGGATGTGGATTAAAGTACAAGTTGCAGAGCTGTGCCAGACAGAAAATTCCTGACTGGCAGGCTTAGTGAAGACCAAACCTGTTAACATGACAAAAAGTGTTAGGACTTCTGGGTTAGCGCCAGCGACTAATGGCGGATTCCCTCCGAGTTCCGGAGGGAATCGGCTCTATAGGAGACGGGTCTTGCCGACGACGCGGGGACCCTCAGAAACCACAGGCGCTGAAGCCTGTGGACCTGGTGACTCGGCGGGCACCATTTGCGCCCCCGACCTGCGAAGGAGCCTTTTTAAAGGCTTCGGAACGGGGGACGGGGAGCGGCGCGGTGCTGAGAGTCAACTGCTTCTCCTACGGAGTGAAGCCGCATGCCATGGTCGGAGAGCGCTGACTTCTTCCTTTGAACATTTGGACTAAAAGTAACAACCCGTGAGTAATACAGAAATTGGATTTATAAAAGGAAAATTTTTGTTTGAATTCGGCACAATCGGGGAAGGCGCAAAGAGGAAGTCCGTCTCCCCGCCTTGTAAACAACTTAAAGCAAGGACTAGATAACTAAGGTCGAGAGAATATCTTCTTTTTTATTGGATAAAAGTTATTAATTACACGATTTGGCAGTATAAGCATCTTGCTGGAGGATAAGAGTTAATTTTGAGAGCTGAAGTGCCCCCCCGGGACCCGGGAGTGATCCGTGAGAGCCTGTTGAGGAGACATAGAAGATTTTGACAGCTGTCAAACTAGCTGTCAAAGCTGAAAAAAAAGAGAGAGAACTTTGTTTCTGTTGTCTTTGCTGGTTATATTTGTTACAATTTGGTTATAAATTGTTGAAAATAAAGAAGAACTGAAACAAGTTAACTTGACTTTTGGGTTGGAACTGGAAGGAATACTAAGTAACCAGACTCCCTCTAGAGGGGGTTCAGGGACATTACAAGAATGGCTGCAGGTGGAAAAATACAGGCTGAACTGGACAAGGTTTTTTTTCTCTTGGGAAAGTTACAAGGTCAAAGTGATGTTTTGGCTACAAGTGTTACAACTCTGAATTCAACAGTAAATAAACTTACTGAATTTGATAAGGACTTGACTCAAAAAGTCCATGCAGCTGAACAAGAAAAGAAATCTGAGAAATTTGAGAAAGTGGAGAAAGAGATACATGCTGATCCGGAGGAAAAGGAAGGAGGGGCTGCAATGCTGCAGATGACAAAGGAGAGCCAGAGGCCTGTCAAGATGGATACAAAGGAAAATAAGAACTGGATGATGAAAATCTGGTTTGAATTGGAGAATGAAGAATGGAGAGATCTCCTTATGTGGAGATCTGAAGACCTATGGATTACAAATTTGATCAAGGTGGAAGCTGGAGCTTTTGGGACATTTGGACTTAAAAGGATTAAGAAACAAGATTTGAGCTCCACTTTTAAATATGGAGGTCTGGCTGGAAGAAATATGGACACTATTGGGACAGAGCTTCTCCGAGATTTGGTGTTTAATACAAAGGACTATCAAAAAAAACCGGCAGAGAGGAATTGAGAGAGAATTAAGAGCCTCGGACGTGAGGTCTCCAGGCTGATAGCAGATAGACTGATGGACATTTGTTGGGGATTGAAACCGGGAAAGGGGGGGTGGGGTTTGGGAATCCAAAGGGTGTACAATTATATTCTGATTCTTTTTATTCTGTTTTGTTATTAGTATAAAAATGGGGAATTCGTGGAAGGGAATTTGGGTCGACCTTAGAAAAAAGTTTTAAGAATGAGTACTGACGTATAAAGACTGATGTTTATAAGTTAAAATTGGATACATAAAATGAACTAAATATAATAATGAATTAAATATAATAAGGTTAAAAATTGGGCACAAGAACTTGTTGAACTAACAATTGGAAATGGAATACAAGAAGGGGAGGCGTGGGGAAGTCATGGAAATATGTTATTGAAAATAAGATTGTAAACGTTGAGTGTTTTTAATTTTTTTTCTGGATTTTTTTGAAAATTTCAATAAATATCTTTTTTAAAAAAATGACAAAAAGTGTTGATGGCCCATTGGGGACAGAAAGCTTTTAGCCTGGGGAATGAGGTGTTGCCAAGGTGATAGAGTGTGTATTTGAGGGGACAGGAAAAGGGTGTATTTGAGCAAGGGTTGCTGGGATGAAGAAGCAGGTAGAAGAACAGAGACCCATCTTGACCAGGCAGGCTAGAGGCTGCCCACACCGCTTCCTCTTGAAATGACCATGCCATAAGATCTGGCCTCCCTCCAGGCAGACTCAAAGCATAAATAGATGAATAAAGCATATTTCTTAAAGCCATGGAAGTGTCCACCATGTCTTCAATTCCCCAAAGGGACAGAAACCCTGTATGGGTGCCTGGGACCCCATGGGCTATAGCCACCACTCGGCAGTGGGAGGGACGGGCACCTGACTTTTGTCACAGTATGCGCACCAAATCAGATCCAAATATCACATTTGCTTATGTGAAGTCAAAAGCCAATAACTTCAGTTGATACAATAGCTGTCAACTTTTCAAAAAAATGTATCTCAAATGTAAATTTGTTGACAAATCTGCCATATGCCAGGTGTCTATCTTCATTCCCCGGTCATATAATGAAGATCATCACACCAGTATGTTCTTTCAAATTTATCCCTCTACAGATTAGCTAACTAAGATATGTCTGGTTCTAAGATATTCTAAATTTCAAGCCATACTTGAAATTTGCCAGAACAGTCTGTCTTGAAACTGCAATCATGTTTCTTCAGTGCTAACAAAACTAGAGCAGTAGGAAGAATCACAGAGATGACACTTGGGAGTAATGAGTCAAAGACACTGAGCTGGTTTGTGGGTGATGGTAAGCCACAAACTGCTGCTGCTCTTCTGCACGCTAATCCGTAGTTTGGTTTAGCAAGTTGCTCAAAGCAGGCATGTGGCTTGTCTTTCTCCAGACACTGCATGAGTTGTAAATATGAGAACAAACTTTGGTTCCATCTTGTGGTTTGTGTGGAGTGAGACAAACCATGAGCCTGGGTTTGTCCTTAATGCTAAAGCAGCAGTAGTGAGACCAGAAAAGGGTCAAAGTGTCTGTGCAATCCTCTTAGGCAGAGTGCACATTCATGCTCAGTCATAGTTGGGCTTAATGTTACATGAAAAGAAAAACAAGAGTTTTGATTTAATATCCCACCTTTCACTCCCTTTAAGGAGTCTCAAAGCGGCTAACATTCTCCTTTCCCTTCCTCCCCCACAACAAACACTCTGTGAGGTGAGTGGGGCTGAGAGACTTCAGAGAAGTGTGACTGGCCCAAGGTCACCCAGCAGCTGCATGTGGAGGAGCGGAGGCGCGAACCCGGTTCCCCAGATTATGAGACTACTGCTCTTAACCACTACACCCACTGGCTCCCATTCCTTCCGAACAATCAGTAAATCCAGACAATCAGTGCTGGATTTACAGCCAGGCAGAGCGGCCTGCTGCCCAGGGTCTTGGCCACTTGATATTAAAAACAAACAAACAAACAAACAAGCTCAGTTGCTTAGTAACAGTAAGGACAAGAACAAAGTTCAGGTACTCAAAAAATCATAGAATCACCAAATAACTGAGTTGGGAAGGATCACAGGGATCATTGAGTCAAACCCCCTACAATGCAGGACTTCCCCCCCCAGCATGAGGCTGGAACCACAACCCTGAGATGTAGATTGACCAGACAATCTGCACAATTTCCTCTTCATGGATGGATTATGTGCACTTTCTTGCACAACCTCTGATGAATGCCCAGTTGTTATGCACATTAATAGTTCAACATGCGCATTAATGGTACAACCCTCAACTTAGATACGTTTGTGTTTTGCAAGTGTGCGTGTTTGATCAGGGAGTCTTTGCAGACTGTTTTTAAACTTTTTTTAAATCTCTTCTCTTTAAGTCAACACCGCCTTTCTACAACGTACAACAGATGACTCTTCCAATAGCTGTCTGGAGTGGTGGTAACGACTGGATTGCAGACTCAAAGGACATGGCCCTCTTACTGCCTCAGATCCCAAACTTAGTTTACCACAAGGATATTCCTGAATGGCAACATCTGGATTTTGTCATAGGCTATGATGCCCCACAGCGCATGTACATAGACATAATGGATTTAATGCAGACTTATAAGTGAATGTGAAATATTCCTTCAGAACCCATTACTGTCAAGGTGTGTTGATGAAAAGCACTACAAGATTTCTTAAGATTCCATTTCTCATATAGGTTCATCACAGTCTCAGTTATAAGAAAGATTTGCTTAGTAACCTTGCCTTTTCTAATTCTGTCAGTGACCATGGGTGTTCCTCCGTTGTTTTAGGAGCGGCTAAGATTCTTTGCTGCTCTTGCTTCATCATGCTGTGTAGCAGAGTCTTGTTCTAGCACAGCATGACTATTGAGGGTAGAAAAAGTACTTGTGGTGATGTCCAGCTCCTTTCCTTTGAGGAACTGGTCCAATTCCAGTTGTTTCCCAGCCTTGGGATCTATCTGCTCTGGGGTAGAGTGCTGCCTTTTCTTAGCTCCCTCAGCAGTTTCTGGTCTAATCTCTCTCTTTCTCATTCTCTCTGCCACTGAGTTGTGAACTTTAATTTGATAAGTTTCTCTCTAGATTGGAATCCTCCCTTAGTTAGCAGTTGTATTGCTGGAATTTTCTAGTTAGTATTTCTTATCTCTAATTATTCACTTTGGATAGAGAAAGGGGAGAGAAGCACTAATGACAGAGGAGCCTCTGTTGGGATATGTCACTCCCATATTTCTTAAGAAAATTCACCCTGGAAAGCATTCCCTACCTTCCCCTTCTCTTCCCCACCCCTCTCTCTCCCCTTCAACTCACAATGCCCATGACAGCAGTGTTTCACACCAAATGTAACTGACCCGTAGAAAAGACGGGAAACAGAAATGCTAAATGTTCCTTTGTTATCCATGAAAACCCTTCCATAAAAAACAACCATTGCTAGGATGTCTATGTGCAGTTTAGTAATCCCTTGGGGAATTAAATCTTTGCCCTTCTTTGCTGCAATGCTGTGCATCGAAGGCTACCTGGAGGTCACGTCGCCACTTCTTCAGGGTTTCTTGGTGGCAGATTGAAGTGCTGCTTGATAATATATATTTTGCTTGCTGTTTGGAATAAAACCTGTAATCTTCTCACTCATTTGCATTTGTATTGCTTCTGAATCTAATTTTAAAAGAACCATCTTGCAAGTCAACAGATTTGACACATTCAGATCAGGCTCGGTTTTTACCAGGTCGACAGATGAAAGCCAATATAAGAAATATATTGGATGTAATAGAATATTTGGAGGTGAGGAATGACATTTGACAACGTCTCCTGGATGTATATTAATTGAAATGATGGACTTTGGACAGACCTATATGAATGGAATAGACGCAATGTATTCAGAACAACAAGCGATGTTGATAGTGAATAATGTTATAACTGAAAAATGTAAAATAACTAAGGGAATGAGACAGGGTTGTCCCCTGTCTCTTTTACTGTTTATCTTGACTTTGGAAACATTAGCGAGAAATATAAGAATGGATGAAAATATAAAAGGAATCACAGTAGGGTGCAAATCATATAAATTGAAAGCATTTTCAGATGACCTGGTAATAACTGTTGAGGATCCCTTGCAAAAATACCAAGGGTGCTAGAAAAAAATACTCAATTTGGGCAAGTAGCTGGTTTTAAACTTAATAAAACCAAAGCAAAAGTCTTCTCAAAGAATATGACAGAACAAAAGAAAAATAAATTTATACAAAGTCCAGAGTTTGTGGTAGAAAAGAAGGTGAAATATCTAGGGGTGTGGCTAACAGCTAAGAATATAAATATTTTTAAGGATAACTATTTAAAAGTTTGGAATGAAATAAAGAGAGTCACGGAGGTATGGGTAAAGATGAACTTGTCTTTGTGGGGAAGAATCTCAGTGATAAAATGAATGTATTGTCAAGAAGGCTATTTTTATTCCAATTGATACCTGTGGTCAGAGGAACAGAAAACTTTAAACAGTGGCAAAAGGATATTTCTAAACTAAGGGAATGAGACAGGGGACAACCTTTAGAAGAAACCGAAATAATTCTCATATAACATACAGATCCTAAAGCATACCCCACAATACAGTACTTAATTTCATTGTTCTGTATGGGACAATGTCAATAAAGATTATCGTATCGTATCATATCGTAATGGAAACATAAAGACACACCAGCATATTAAGAGAGATCAGAAAGAATTTGTTGATATGCCGCCATGAACTTCAACTTTGAAATGAGGCCCAGAGCCTTAACAAGACTACGTCGAATGAAGGAGGGATCAAAGAAAGAGGACTGCACTTCAAAATAATTGGACAGAGAATAATATGGAATACAAATGCCTCCTGAGTATTAATAATATAAGGAACTGTTCAAAAAGATAGTGAGTCACAGAAATAGCGACTGATGGACTGAGAAGATGAGGAGGGTTAAAAATCAGAGTTATGAAAATGGAAAATAGCGAAAAACACAGAGACTTTAATGAGGACAATATCTCTAGCCACCTGGAACATGGGAAATCCTCCTTTGATATTTTTTTTTTATAATTGAAGTATATAAACTAGTACACACTGGGGCAGATAAAATCTTAATTTCACATGCTGTATATGCTCATGGGGTCTGTACTGGCAGTGATGGACCAGGAATGAGATCATGGGGTCAGAGTAGAGAGCTTGATAAAGATGTTGTGGCTGCTGTGAAAAAGGTGGATTCCATGCTGGGGATCAGTAGCAAAGGGGCTGTAGATAAAGCTCCCAATACGATCCAAAATGAGACAACAAGGCATTGAGGTGTTAGACCAGTGCTTGGAGGCAGTGACAGGCTGGATATGGATCAAGTTTTTAAAACTAAATTCTGAAAGAACAGAGATGTTATGTGTTTCAAATTCTCCAGTCTAGAAAGTACAAAAATGAAGTACCATTCCTGCCATTTAGGCGAAAAGTGAAGCGGGCAACCTGCACGGTGGATTTTGAGGTGGTGAGGATAAGCCCCTCGCACCTTTAACTATAAGTATACAGTATGTGCAAAATCCATAATTAGGAAGATCCTAAGCAGGGAAGTTCCTGTTGCCTTTTGAATCTCAAGAGTGCTGCTGGCTTCTGCTTTAGTTTGGATACATTTCTGGAACGAGTTACCACTTCAAGCAAGTTGATGCAGTCTGATGCCACAAGATGGAGCTGTGGCCCTTATGAGTGATACTTTGTAACTTGCTTATTACATCTTTAGCTGGGAGATGCTGTTCTTGCAACATAAAGAGAACATGAAATAAACCATCCCTCCTTTTAAGTGTCTTAAAACAAGATTCTCAATATTTAGCCTGCCCTGCAACGTTGCTTCCTTTGCAGCAATCATTTTGTTTGCTTAAGGAAAATACCTTGTGGGTTCCTATGTGAAGATGCAGAAACATACTGTCAGGGGCTCAGGAGCAGAGGCGCAGGGGAGAGAGGAAATGGAGAGCGAAGGGGAAGAAACTGAGGGCAGCGGAGGGCAGAATGACAGTGACCCGAGAGATTCCATGAGCCTCTCCAGTGAATCAGAAGATTCCCAGAAGGGGGCGCCGATGGCCAGGGCAAGGGGGGTCCCAGGGGGGACACACCAGAAGCAGGGGGCCAGCGGAGACTCCCAGAGCAGTAGCTGGAAATCAGGGCCAGCTTCCCCACCGGAGCGTAGTGGGGGGGAAGAGTCCCATAGGTCAGAGTCAGCGTCTCCTCCGGCAAGCAGCGACAGGAGCAGTATAACGGTCAGAAGGTAGGTGGCAGGCTGGGCGCGCGCGCCAAGTTCAAATGTACAGGCGCGTGGGACAGCAGAAAGCCCGGATTGGGAACCAGGTCCTAAAGCCCGCCGGAGGGAGGGGGAAGACTCGGGGGAGTCAGCATCAGAAGAGTCTAGAAAGGGGAAAACCCCGGCGGACAGGCGGACCCAGAGGAAGAGGGAGCAGAGGAAGAGGTGGAGCAGGGCTAGGGTCTTAAACTGGTGTCTGGCGGGAGGAGACTCAGACGGAGCTTCGGCGGTCTAGAGTTTAAGACATAGAGCTGCGCGCCGTGGCTGTAAATGAGAAACTGAACTTCAATAAAGACTATTTAATATAACAACGGACTGGCGTTGGTCCTCTGTGAGCTGGGACCTGGGGCAGCTCTGACACATACATTTACAGTGGTACCTTGGTTCTCAAACGCCATGGTACTCAAACAACTTGGAACCCAAGCACTGCAAACTGGAAGCAATTGTTCCAGTTTGTGAACTTTTTTCAGAAGCCGAACATGCTTCTTTTTGAGTGTCACACTTCCGATTTGAGTGTTACACCAAGGTCTGTCTGTTTTTGCTATCTATTCTGCTTTCTTTCTTTTTTTTTTTTTGCAGCTCTTTTTTGTTTTGTTTTTGTGACTGAGTGGAACTCAGTTCAGCTACTGATTGATTGTGTCACTGCAGTACATTGTTTATTGCTTTCATTTTCTGGATCAATGGTCTCGTTAGATAGTAAAATTCATGTTAAATTGCTGTTTGGGGGGGTTGTTTCTAAAAGTCTGGAATCGGTTAATCCATTTTGCATTGCTTTCTATGGGAAAGTGTGCCTTGGTTTTAGAATGCTTTGGTTTTGGAACGGACTTCTGGAATGGATTAAATTTGAGAACCAAGGTACCACTGTACCAGACATAGTAGCTTTCTCCAGTACTGCAAGCATTTTTCATAGGAAGTCTTTTAAAAAGCAAGTTTTAGGCCTTTGGACTCATTCAGGCCTGCTGGCATAGTGTGATCATTTAGGGCACACCTGATAGTTGACAGCTGAGCATATGAAGCCTAGGAAGATTCATTTGAGAAACACTGAGATAGCATGGTTCCCCACCTCCCCAGGCAGAACTTTCATGTGTGGTGGCTCATTCACATGTTATGCTTGGCGTGACAGTCTCTTCACCCATCCCTCAACAGGACCACATTTGCACCACTCACTTCCATTGTGACTCAGCTAGGCACTAGAGTGCCCATATGCCTTACTTTCCAGAGGACACTCCTCTGTTTGAAAAGCTGCCTGGGCCAAGTCCAGTTTAAAGATTAAGAAAAAAACAGCAGGAGTCTTGGCATCATGCCCCATCAATGCATAGCATGTGGACAGGAGAATGAGCTGTCTTCCCCACTATGGTGACATAGATTTCATTTAGATTAGGAACAGAGTTAGAGCCTGCTGGATCAGGCCAGGGGCTCATCTAAGCCAAGCACCATCTTTTTACAGTGGGCAACCAAATGCCGATAGGAAACCTCAAAGAAGGATGTCAGCACAACAACAATCTCCAGCGCTCAATAAGTAATATAATTATATAGGTGCACCAATAGCACTAAATATAGTAATTATTTCAAGATTTTCATGTATACACAGAGGCAAGTACTTGCAAATTTGAATTCTCTTTGGATCTTCTCTTGGTGATGAGTAAATGGCCACTTGTTGCTTGCTTCCCATAAGCATTCTGCAGTCAGTTAAAAAATGGCCAGTTTTGGAATGCTATAACTAGAGTTAAAGGCTCA